TGGGAGTCATTTTCATGAGTAGCTTAAGAGGAGTTAAATTTTGAAGTTGCTCTATTGAGTCTGTCCGAATTTTTATTAGGTCCATCATACCTAGTTATTTTCTAGTCTTGCATGTAGTATGTATGTGTGTTAATTGATTGCTTATGGTTTAGTATATGAGCTCTCACCCTCTGATTTATAAGAAAAATTTCGACGTAAATTTATATCCACAATAATCATTTTCTTAAAAGTCTTCCGCTGAGATTACATATAATAAGAGTAATCGTGAGAGGGATGTCACACATTGGGTGGTATCAGAGCAACGATCTCGGAAATCTCCATATGCCCTAAAGATCTTCACGATTTTCAAAGCACGACTTCTACTGAGCACTCGGGCAAGTATATGTTTTATGTGAAATCTTTATGACTAATGTGAATTGTTTCTATATGTTTAAATTATTAAAATCTCGGGAGCAAGAACTCACAATCAATCTCGTACCATCCAAGACCTCACCGCCCTCGCCCGAGAACAAAATGAACAAATCAACCGCTTTGTTAACCTCCAAAACCGAAACCCTCCTCCACCTCCCCAACCTCGAAATACAGCCCCACAAGCCCTCTACGAGCAATTCTTGAAAATGCATCCTACCGAATTCCACGGCGGCCCTAATCCAACTGTTGCTGAAGAATGGATCAAATCCCTTGAGGTCATCTTCGAGTACATGGTGATGAACAACAACAGCCGAATCCATTGCGCACTATTCTTGTTGAAGAACAAAGCCCGAAATTGGTGGGAAGGCGCAAATAGTGGGATCGGTCTAGCAAATACCACTTGGGAAGCTTTGAAAGTTCTAAAAATTAACAAGGCCTCCTCGTGTGGATTTACACGAGCTCAGTGGATGCGCTCGTGTAAATTCACATGAGCAGGCCAAAGTCCTAATTCACTCGCTGCTTCAAGCAAGGAAGCCTCTACGTAACAAGATGATCGTAAAAACGAAAAAATTACCTCCGATCTGTTGACGATTTGCACGGGCTTTGCGAAAGAAAATCGAAAGGTTGAGAGAGTTTTTGAGTTCACTTTTTGTTTTTTGAAAAATGGTAAAAAATGTGCCTGACTGTTTAATATGTGCCTGCACAAATCATTTCAGTTCTATTAATAAACCCACTAATTCATCACTAATCTATATATAGCTAATTATTTTTTCTACTGATCTCATTAGCTGTTAAACCAATTTATTTTTGGAATGCCATAAAATAGTTATGGCTGCTAAATATGTGAGTGAACCAATGTATGTGCATACAGGGTCGTCCCACCTATATAGGCAAGTTGGGCCTTTGCCTAGGGCACCAACTTCTTCTGGGGGCCCCCACATAGTAAGTATCTATTTTATATATATATATATATATATATATATATATATATATATATATTAACATATTAATGAATATTTACTTTCAATAAATGGCTGACTTTGAAAAGGAAAAAATTGAGGGACCCCATTCCATTTAATGTATAAATCCAACGTTCATTTGGACTTATTCCCTAATAATAAAGAGAATAATCAATGAACATAACGTCCACATGTATCTAGTCCCTATTTATACTCTTTTCAATATCTCTCCATATCCCATGTTTTTTTTCATTTTGACTCTCTCTCTCTCTCTCTCTCTCTCTCTCTCTCTCTCTTCTTTCTCACTTCTCATCATACACGTTTATTTGTAGTTATTTTATTTTTATTTTTAGTTTCTCTTTTCTCTTATAAAAACAACAGGTAAAATAAATTGCTAATATTTTTTCAATAAATTGTTATTTTTTTTTAATAAATTGCTAATTTTTTTTTTGTTTTTGTTTAATGCAGATAATTATTTGGTGATGGCCTAGTTTTAATTTTGTTGCCATTCAACTTGCTATATTGCCAGGTTCTATCGTTTCTTGTCATTGCTAATCAATTTTTGATCTATTATCTCGAGTGGTAGAACATATTTATCTAGATGTGAAAAACGAAAAAAACAAGTAAAAATAAAAAAAAAAAGATAATGCAGTTCAAAGAGGAGTTATAGAAAAATTATTTGGTAAACATAATAAAAATGCTAGAAATGTAATTTCTATTAATGTTCAAAGTGATGATCTGATTAATGCTCAAAACAATAATACTATTGATGTTTAACATGAAAATCCAATTGATATTGAAAAAAATAATCCTACTATTGATAAGAGTGAAATTCCTGTGCAAGAACAAAATGAAAATTTTGTTAATAATAATGCTAGTGATCTCAATGAAATTGAAGAAAGTGAAAAATATGTTGATAAATTTGATGCGGCTAATTGGATTAATATGAATGCAAAATTAAGAGATTTTCTAGTGGAAAAAGGTCCTATTAGAATTACTAATGTAGATTATCCTAAAGATAGTGATGGTAGACATTTCTGTGTTTCAAGTTATATTCGAAATTTACCTATGATGATAACAATTGAAATTTTTTAAGTCTAATCGAAATGATTGCTGAATTTGATCCTATTATGCAAGAATATTTTAGGCGTGTTAAAGATGGGGAAATAC